CGGACCCAGTGGCTTAAAACTCACGCCAGGCACGTGTGCATGCGTGCCCAAGATCCCGGGAGGAGAATGGAGGAGAAGGGATTGCGGCGTGACCATCCCCCCTGGGGGGTGATTTCTCGTTTTCTGTCTCTATGTCTCTCTCTGTCTGTCTGGTGAGCGCACGCACCCTATAGCGAAAAAAACCTCTCCAAAAAAAAAAAAAGAAAAAGAAAACTTAACCTGTTATAGTTTACTATTATAATTGATTTTACCATGAATCTGAGGCAACTAAAATTCTTATTTCAAAACCAAATTTAGTCTTTATTCAGAGACCAGGTGATTTCTACAGCTTTTGAATGTGAGAGCCTTCTGTATCACCCACAATTGTAGACTAAAAATTGCTGTGCCCATTTCACATTCATTTAGGACAAGTATTATCAAAGCAAAACAAAAAGCCAGAAAATAGTTAATGTTGTGTAGAATATGGAGGAAGTGGGACCCTCGTGTATTGCTGGTAAGAAGTGATGCAGCCACTGTGAAAAAATATGGTTCCTCAAAACCTTAAAAACGGAATTACCATATGATCCAGTAGTTCCACTCCTGGGTATCTACCTAAAAGAAGTGAAAGCAGGGACTTTTGAACAGACATTTGTATGCTCGTCTTCATGGCCACATTATTTGCAATAACCAAAAGATAGAAGTAACCCAAGTGTTCGTTGAAGGTGGAATGGATAAACTATGATTTATACACATAATGAAATATTAGTCAGCCTTAAAAGGAAAACAGTTCTGAAGCACGCTACATGCATGAATCTTGAAGATTTTGTACTGGTGAAATAAGCCCATCGCAAATGGACGAAGATGGTATGATTCCATGCATATGAGGTACCTAGAGTAGTCAATGTCTTAGAGACTGAAATAGAATGGTAGTCAGGGCCAGGGGAGGGGAGAATGGGAAGTTATAGTTTAATGATTATGAAATTTCAGTTTGGGAAGATGAAAAATTTCTGGAGCACTGCACACATAACGTTAGCTAAAGTGGTGAATGTTATGTTATGTATATTTTATCATAATAAAAACTTTAAACTGCTATGCCTAGATCCAAGAATAGTCTTCATTGATCCTGGGGTGTTGATATAATAACCAATCTTTAGGCTTTTTGAGAGATGTTGACTACGCTATCCCATTCTAACACTGCTCTTACAACAGCATGGAGGTCAAAGCAGGAATATTACCTAGGAATGGCTTGTGTTTTGTGTAGCGCTTTATAGTGGAAGAAAGGCTTTTATGTAGCTTAACCTATTTAATCCTCATGACAGCCTTATAAGGTAAGTAGTATTACGTCCTTTTAATTGAGAGAATAAAGTGAAGCCTAGAGATTAAGTTGTCCAAGACCACAGGGCTATTATGGATGTAGGGGTTCAAATACTTATCTTTTGACTCTAAAGCCATTGATCTGCTAAAGAACAGAAATAATTGTCAACTTACTATGAATTTTACATTTAAAATGCCAAAAGCAATGTGCTGTGCTTGTTAAACTGAATGAAGTAAAGAAAAAGAAAGATAGCGTCATTAGCTTCTCAGTGACCAAGGAATAATGATTATACTAAATTTATGCTCTGAATCCTATTAACATATTTGCAGCTTTTTATAACGCTCTATTTCAAAGTGTTGGTCATGTTTAAACTCTGGTTGACTCTTTGTATTTTTACACTTTAGCTTCTAAAATGACCCTTTAATTTGAGGTTAGGGGAGCTTTCACCAAAACTAATTGTTTTAGGTTGTATCTATTTTAAATTTTAATCTAAATTCTAAAAAAAAAAAAAAAATGTGTCCAATTCCTATAAAAACAACTAGCCAGGTTATTCTCATTGTTATGCAAGAAATGTTCCACTTTGGGTCTTAAATTTCATTTTTTATCCCTCTCCTTGGAGTGGATGGCTAATGTAAATGGGAAAAACCTGGCAACACACCATCGTTTACCTTGGTGACTTTATGAGCTCCCCCTGGAACAAATGACTGGGCCGGTGCCGTGTCCAATTCTCAGCACACAGCTCGCATTCATTTTCTGTTGAAGTTTGCCATCGATAAGTCAACCCAGAGCCCCATCTCTCCTGCTTCAGAATGCTGACCCGGTAGTTTTCTCTGTCTCAAAAGATTTGGTACGGCATAGAAGAGGGGTGGCATTAATACCCCCTTGCTGTGAACCAGCCTCCCTGGATCTATTAACTGATAACATAAATGACTTTCTCTGAGGCAGTGTGCCATAGGTTTCTCAGTGCGCTGGCATTCAGTGAAAGAGCTTGAGATTTTGCACTGCGAAGTCCTTCTGCCTGTATGGTACCTGTAGTCTTCACTGACGATGTGAACACTGAACATTCAAAGAATGGCCCCTCCGTTTCCTCTTTCAGGTCGTCCCAGCTCCCGTCAGGTGAAATCTGTGGTCAGTCTGGCTCACTGTGCATGTAAGGCACAGATGGAAGTTCAGATGCCCCATCCCTTGCATGGGAAACGAGAGGTCCTCACTGCACTTTAAGAGGATTATAACATGTTGCAACTCTTCCCACGTGTTTTGCTGTAAAATTCATAAGCCAAAGCTCCCTGTGCCAAGTGCAATAGAGAAATGAAATACTTTTTAGAAAAAGTAACTCACACCTGTAATAGGGGCAGTTCCTGGAGAACTTTCCCCCTGTATCTGGTTTATTGCTTCTCTTCCTATGGCCTACATTTATTAAGCACCTACCCTGTGCCAGAAACTGTGTGGAGCAGTTCGTGTGTACTATGTTATTTAATCCGCACCATAGGCCTACGTGGCAAGTACTGTCTAGTCTCACTTTACAAAGAAAAAGCTGAAGTGGACATATAGCGAGTTAGTGGCCCTTGTCATTCATCCCCTTTTTCTATGTCACACTGTAGCAACCTAGCCCAAATAGATCATCGCATTATCTTCTGTAATCCTAAAATTAAGAATTTTCAGAAGCAGTCTTGCCAACTTCTGTCAGTGCCTTTCACACTTTAGTATTCTCTTCTTTCAGCAGGGGAGAGCACCAACTTTCACTCTGTAGTTCACGCATTTGATATGTATCATTGTTTCCCCTCAACATTCTCTTTTAAGTGATTTAAACAAAATACAGGAAACTCTTGTTAACATTCCTTCCAAGATTGTATTTTCTAATGCCCCAGTTGTTCAAGTTGCCTTCAACTTCAAACTTTATTCAACTCTCCTATATTTTATTAAAACGTGTAGGATACAAAGTAGACACTTATTTATAATTACATTTTTAAAGCTCTTTTCATTTGTTCAGTGGTGGATGTTATTGATGCCTGACTGTTAAAGGATCATTTTTTTAAAAACTGATAAAATCATCACTCCCATACAAATATAAGGCAAATGCATGCTAATATAGCAAGAAAAGTTCATGGCAAACCCAAAGGGAAAATAGCTCCATGTGATAAAAAGGAAAACTTATTATTTATTATACTTTTTGGAGAGGTTTTTGCTATAGAGCATGTACACTTTCCAGAAAGACAGAGAGAGACAGAAAGTGAGAAATCACCCCCCCCAGGGGGATGGCCACACTGCAGTCCCTTCTCCTCCATTCTCCTCTCGGGATCTTGGGCATGCACGCACGCACATGCGCCTGGCATGAGTTTAAGCCACCAGGTCCAGAATTTGAACCACAGTCAATTACATGGGAGTCCAGCAACATAGTCATTACACCAACTGCTGGTCCCAAGGAAAACTTATTTTTAATGCTGATTAAGAGATAAAGAAGTTAGGACCAGCAGGTGGCATGTTGGTTAAGGCACTGGATTCCCACATGGCTGACCACAGTTCAAGTCCTGGACCCAGCAGCTTGAAAATCATGCTGGCACGTGTGCTTGTGTGCCCAGAATCCCGAGAGGAGAAGGGATTGTGCTTTAGCCATCCCTCCCAGGAGGTGATTTCTCAGTTTCCCTCAATCTGTCTCTCTGTTTTTTCTCTGGCAAGTGCATGTGCCCAATGGTCAAAACAAAACAAAAAAAACAGAAGAGAGAGTGTAGTATGAGGACAAGGCTGTTTCTGGAGGAGCTTTTGAAAGTGCTAAAGATATTTTGCTTTGACTTTTGTATAATTTCGACAAAATACTTTCCAATTCATTACACATAAAATGAATGAGATAATTCTTTATTGAACATCCACTTTTTCCCCAGAATTTAACAATGTGGGCGGGGGAACAGCATGCGATATGTTGTTAAGGCACTGGAATCCCGTGTAGTTGACCATGGTTTGAGTTCTAGACCTGATGGTTTGCTTTCTCTCTCTCTCTCTCTCTCTCTCTCTCTCTCTCTCTCTCTCTCTTTCTTCCTCCCTCTCTCACTCATGTGCCCTGTAGCAAATTAAAAAATGATAATAACGATAAATAAAATTCAATAATTTTTTAAAAGAATGTGGACTATGTATAAAAAATGGACACTGCCCTAAAGAGCTTGTAGTTTAGAACAAGTAATGAGAGAAAATGAACATAGTAATAATTTAATTATATCCCATACAGTAAGAATTAAGAGCTCTTCTTGGGCCAGTAGGTGGCATGGTGGTTAAGGCACTGGACTCCCACATGGCCAACCACAAGTCTCAGACTTGATGACTTGCTTTCTCACTTTCCCCCTCTCTCTCCCTTTCTTTCTTCCTGGTGAATGTGGGTGCGCTGTAGCAAATTAAAAAATAATAGTAATGATAAATAAAACTAAATAAATAATTCCTTAAAAATAAAACTCAAAGAACTTTTTTTACCCTTCTTTCTAGGTCTTTAGCAAGACCTCATAACTACATCAGTAAAATACATCTTGAATCTGTACTGTTCACAGGAAGTTCATTCTCAATTTCAAAAATAATGTATGCTTCAAAAATTAGAATCTGTTTTTCCTCCATTTGTTGCCTAATTATTGTTTTTTAATTCTTAAACCTGGATTGAAACACCAGAAGATTCTTCCATGTTGCCCACTTTAAGATGAATCTTGATGTTCTTCTTCCATCCCAGAGTCACCAGAAATCGGGCCTTCCCTCGTGATTCACACCACCGTCCCATTTGGAGTTTCGTACCTGGAACACAGCATTGAGGATGTGCAGGAGCTAATCTTCCAGCAGCTGGAAAGCATTCTGCCAGGTTTGCCTCAGCCAGTTGCTTCCAAATGCCAGAAATGGAGACATTCACAGGTAAGAACCCAGTAGTCTGAGCAAATCCATGTTCTTAGCAGGCCAGCAGAACCAACTTCGCTTTTTCATCCTCTGCCACTCCCTAGTAAAAGAGCTTAGTAATGTGATCACTGGGACAAATGGGTTTGTTTAAACCTCTAAGTGTAATTCCTACAGGTTGTATTGATCCACTCCTTCTCAACAAGAAGTGCATTTGATTTTCACCAATGTCAGGCTCAACTTCTAGTTTCTCAAGACTTATACACCCTGAAGTTCTGGGGTTTTTTTGTGAAGGCAAAGCAGGTTATATATCAAAATGCAGCTGTGTCTCTGGGGTTTTTCTAAATCAGTACTGTGGTTATATAGAAACCACTATAACCTCCTCAAATTTTGCAATATGTCAAATTAACCTTGTCAATGTAGTTTGCTGCCACAGTTTTCATTTTTATGAAGTTCCCACTTTGGTTTTGACTGCAGCCAGCGGAGTTTTGGGGGAGGAAAAAGAGTGCCTGTGCTCACAGCCACTTGAGCTGTTTTTCAGGTTCAGATTAACCTGCTGACTGCTCTACTAGTTCCAACCTAAAGCTCTTTATACTAAGTCAATGTTGACTTTCTTGAAAATCTCTGCATATGCTAACAGAACTTTGTGAGTATTCATAGAAAAACCCTTTTGCTTTGTAAACCCAGATGTGAAGTCACTTAGGGGACAACAGAGCTGAAGATAGGCAGAGAAAAAAAACAGCTGAACTGTTCAGCTCTTTTCTGTGTAAAATTGTACCAGCCTACCTCAAACAGATCATTGTATTACATTTTTACAGTCCTAACTTTATCACAATTATTGGTTATCCAAGTGGTGAAGCCTTTAGAAAAAGTGATATTGTGAGAAATGGCAGTACATTTTGTGTATTTTAAAGGGCCTTCCAAAATCAGAGGAAATGGTAAATTACTTCCTAACATATTAAAGCAGGTCTGTGTGTTTACCCATATCTTCTCAAGTTAGATTATACAGTGAACCTTTGGGGAAAATATTTACTTAAACATGTCATGGTCACTTTAGAAGACTGCTTTTTCCTTTTAAAAGCATTGAAAAATCTCAATAGCTAATGTCTTTAAATGATTCTTAACTCAATTTTAGGTTGGCTTGCAAAAGAAAACAGGAAAATAATCTTGTTAATATAATTCAAAGCTAGATATATTATACACCAAGCCACTTTGCAATTTATAAATATTCCTTTGAAGAAATAATACTTGTGCCTTTCTCATAAATAATTTATTAATAAACTGAAAAAAATGAATTTGAAATCTACTTATTTCTTAAAATTTGATGTGGTAATAAAGATAGATTTCCCCTAACCATGAAACAACCAATTCAAAGTTGTGCAATATCACAAAATTTAATAAGAAATCTTTGAACACAATGTACATCCAAACCCTAGCAATGATTTTTATTACAATTTAGATGTTGAAATTATTGCACTACATTTACTCTGTATTCATGAAATCTACATTGGTTGCAAAGCCTGAAAGGGAGTAAGTTATCATTCAGACTTAGAAGTTTGCATGCTCCACTATTTATGTACTTCTGATCCTACAGAACATAACATTGTCATTTATGGCAGAAATCTTACCCACATTGTATTTGCCACCTTAGAAAATAAATAGTTAATGAAAGGTCAGAAGATTGAATATTATATAATTAGTTTTCAGCTACTCTTCCCAAGAAAGCATTTTTCCAATGCCTTTAAAAGATCCGCCTTAACCTTTGGAATTTGACTTAAATGCAGGCACTCCGCCCTTTCCTTGCCTTCCCAGTACATGCGACCTACTTTCAATTAATTCATGAATGCTTGTGTACAAATATGATCTAATATATAGGACTAAACTAAAGAGAAGGGCCAAAAAGGAAGAGGAACAAACAACTGATTTTTAAATTTCGTTCATTTCTGAGCAGAAGTCAGTGCCTTCACAAAAGAAACGCTAACCATATTTTTTTTCCAACCTAGTTCTTACCCAATGCTCCTTTTCTTTTCTTCCATTCTATTCTGCACCACCCAAACTTCTCCTATTTTGCATAGTTCACTCCCATCTTTTTCTTATCTTTCTCTGAAGAACAAATGAAGCCCTATGCACCCATATTTTATGAAAGCCTTGAAAGATCACAGCTGGTGCCCCCTGTTCTTTTTTTTTTTTTTTTTTTTTTTTGAGAAGTTTTTGCTATAGGGCACGTGCACTCACCAGACAGACAGAGAGAGACACAGAGAGACAGAAAGTGAGAAATCACTCCCCAGGGGGTGCCCCCATTCTGAACAGCAGTATGGTTTTTCCATTCTAAATTCCTCAGTTCTGACGCTTTTTCTCCATTCATTTTATACTCTCTCCCCACCACACACTTTTTCCTCCTATGATTCTTATGTTGAATCCTGGCACCCAAAGCTATAGAGGATGGAGAAGAAGAAAAGGCAAGGGAAACAGTAATGATGAGCACATGCATGTGCCAGATCTAGCTAGACAGTTCAAAGATGTGATCTCATTTAGTATTAAGAGTAGCCTTGGACCAGCAGATCGCGTAATGACTCCTACGTGGCTGACTGCAATTCGAATCCCAGACCCAATGGCTTCAAACTCACTCTGGGCACGTGTGTGCATGTGCCCAAAATCCTGAGAGGAGAATGGAGAAGAGATTGTGGCATGGCCATTCCCTCCTGGGGGGTGATTTCTCACTTTCTGTCTCTCTATCTCTCTCTATCCCTCTGGCGAACAAACACACTCTATGGCAAAAATCTATCTAGGGGAAAAAAAAAGAGAGAGAGAGAAGACTTATAAATGACAGTGTGATACCACTTTACACCCAAAACGGTCAAAATCCAGAACACTGACAACACTAAATGTTGGCAAAAGTATGGAGCAACAGGAACTCTTAATCATTGTTGATGGGAATGAAAAATGGCACAGCCATTATGGAAGACATTTTCTTACAAAACTAGACTGTTCCTGCCCAGCAATTGCATTTCTTGGTATTTATCCAAACAAGTTGAAATTTTATATACATACAAAAATCTATACCTGGATATTTTAGCAGCTTTATTCATAACTGCCAAAATTTGGAAGCAAGAAAAGTGTCCTTCAGTAGATGAATGAATACAAAAACTGTGGCACATCTAGACAATGAAATATTATTCAGCACTAAAAAGAAATGAGCTATCATGCCATAAGAGACATGAAGGAAATTTAAATGGATATTGCCAGATGAAGGAAGTCATTCTAAAAAGGCAATATATTGTATGGTTTTAACTATATTTGGCATTCTAGAAAAGACAATACTATGAAGACAGTAAAAAGTCAGTGACTGCAAGGCAGTGGGAGAAAGGAAGAATGATTAAACAGAACAAAGAAGTTTTTTAGGGCATTAAAATACTCTAATACTAGGGACCAGCAGTTGGCGTAATGGCTATGTTGCAGGACTCAACCACGGTTTGAGTACCGGACACTGTGGCTTAAACTCACGCCAAGCGCATGTGCATGAGTGCCCAACATCCCAAGAGGAGAATGGAGGAGAAGGGATTACGGCTTGGCCATCCCCCGGGGGAGGGGGTGATGTCTTGTTTTCTGTCTCTCTGTCTCTGTCTTTCTGACAAGCGCACGTGCCCTATGGCAAAACCTCTCTAAAAATTGAAATAAAAATAATAAAATACTCTAATTCTATAATAATTAATGAATGTTTTTTTACAGTTATCCAAACCCATAGAATGTGCAACACCAAGAAAGAACCTTGATGTGAACTATGGACTTGGATGATAACGTGTACATTGATCATTTGTAACAAACGTACCATTCTAGTGAGGGCTGTGGATCATGGGGAAACTATGGATTTGTGAGGGCAGAGCATGTAAGAGAAAACTCTGGGGAACCAGCAGTTAGCGTAATGGCTATGTCGCTGGACTCCCACGTAGTCGACCGCGGTTCGTGTCCCAGACCCGGTGGCTTAAAACTCACGCCAGGCGCGTGTGCGTGCGTGCCCAAGATCCCGAGAGGAGAATGGAGGAGAAGGGATTACAGCATGACCATCCCCCCTGGGGGGTGATTTCTCACTTTCTGTCTCTATGTCTCTCTCTGTCTGTCTGGCGAGCGCAGGCGCCCTACAGTGAAAATCTCTCCAAAAAAAAAAAAAAAAAAGAGAAAACTCTGTACCTGCCTCTCAATTTTGCCACGAACCCAAAACTGCTCTTAAAAAAAAAAAAAAAAAAAAAAAAAACAGGGTCAGCAGGTGGCATGGTGATGAAGACACTGAACTCCCACACGACCAACTGCAGTTCAAGTCCTGGACCTAGCAGCTTGCTTTCTCACTTTCTCTTTGTCTCTCTCTTCCTCTCTCTCTATCCATCTCTCTCTCTCTATCGCTTTCTCACGATAACATGTGCCCTGTAGCAAAATTTAAAATAATTTTAATAATAATGATTAAATTAAATAATTTTTTTTTGAGAGGTGTTTGCTATAGGGTTCATGCACTTGCCAGAATGACAAAGAGAGGCAGAGAGACAGAAAGCAAGAAATCACCCCCCAGGAGGGATGGCCACACCATAATCCCTTCTCTATTCTCCTCTTGGGATCTTGGACATGCACACACATGCGCCTGGTGGTGTTCTCCCATGCTCAACCTGTTGTAAAAAAATGGCAGCAGTGGGATTGAAAATTTTGCTCATTTATTTATTTGGTAACTAATCCAATAAGCATATAATAAATACTTACAGTATGCTTTGTACCTAACTTATAAAACCCTGAAGGGATTGCTGGAGGCTTTCTCCTAAAACTCTAAGTTGAATTTTGTCTCCAGTAAGATAATGGTGCATTCTTGTGGGTGCTATTCTTACATGAGGAAATAGGCAGAGGAAGAAAGAAGGCGTGTTTAAAAGACTTGGAGGCTGCTTCTGGGCCTCTTATTTGGAGTGTGAATAAAACACTTGAGTAGGTGGTTCAAACAAACCTAGCAAAGTAATGGCAGATTTGTGTGTGTGTGGTTCTCT